GATAGATAGATAGATAGATAGATAGATAGATAGATAGATAGATAGATAGATAGATAGATAGATACATAAATTGTACGCTCATGATTTTTGCTCGCCAGATGAGTTTGATTTTTATCCTGGATGTCTCTAACTATCTCCAACTCCAGACCCCATCCAGGGCTTTGTTTTGGTGTCCGATGAGTCAATGAAGGACTCCCTCAGAACGGCCTGGTTTTTGCACCTGCATGTTTAAATTTTGAGCTCTGGCAACTGTGAAGTGAACAGATTGGAATGTGCTGTTCCACTCCTCCCCATGTGCTCTTCCTCAGGGCGGCGGCTGGCAACATCACCAACATCACAGCCTGAGTGCAGCAAATTTGCTCCTTTGCAGATGTTGCGGCGAGCCATCTGCGAGCAATCCAATCGAGTTTGGTCATCTTTACACTTCTGATAGGAGTCCTTGAAGGGTTGCTAATAATTACCCTAAAAGGCCTTTTCAGCTATACCAAGCGTTTCAAATGGTGTTCCCATGCGTTAAGGCACCCATAAGATTGTGTGCTGTTCCGTGCTCCAGTTGTAGGTCATAATGTTATTCTTCACACCACATTGGTCGACGTAGGTGAGCTGTCCCTTGACAGACACGGCTTTCTGAGAGGAGAATGAATCGTGATGACCCGGCTTAGCCAATGAGAGTCGATGAGCAGTTGCACTGATGTTCAGTGATTTTACTATAATAGTTTCTACAATCGTTCAGTAATGTTTCTCATGTTGACAAGACTTGCTTATCCCGCAGATTTACAATTGACGTGTGCGAAAGGACCGATGCCACACCCTGTTGAATTGTATGGAATGAGGATTCATTTTCTTACCTTAAACAACCACTCCAGGCTTAAAAGGATTGGCCACTGCAACTTCGAACATGCTGCCTTCGTCTATATAGCTATTGTCAAGAATCACAGCTCCCGAGCTGCTTGCGAGAACAAGTCTCGCCAGTGATTCGATCGATTTCTGGGTTTGATCAAGCGTGGGAATGTCTTGCTGGGTCAGTTGATTTGATGGTCTGCCCAGTTGATCTCAGTTGATCTCCAAGAAAACGATGAATTCACCCACCCTGCCCACACAAGAAAACCCTGATCCTTGTGATTCCAAGTGGATTCATGCCATTCAGGAGGCATTCATGAGGTCTCCATGGAGAGAAGCACCCTTTGTGATGTTAGAATCTCCTTCTGGATCCTGAACCTATCCGTTCCAATCATGTCTCCCCTTAATTGCATGGTCCATTTCCAGGTGTTTGTCGTCCGTCCTCCCAGTCCCAACCCTGGCGTCATGGCTGCCTCCTACTCTCCCACGAACCGGACGTGGAGACAGTCACCGGTCTCGCTCATCGCTACGCCTCCACCGGGGGAGGACACCCCGGCGGTGCCATCGGTCGCAGGTGGTTTCGGTCGAACACCGGGTTTCCTGTGGAAGCCGAATCTCCTGTGGAAGCCGAATCCGTTGAGTCATTCCCTGATTCAATGTGGAGCGAGTGGATGAAATCAATCACTATAGGTTGAACCTTCCTGTCGAAGCCATGTCGCTGACAGCAAGGCACGCCAGTTCTCCCGGGGGCCAAAGGGCCGCGCCGATGTTCTCCCCGTTTCACGCGCTGCGAACGGGCTTCGACCAGTTCATGGTAGGTTGAACATGGTTGAACAGTAATGCAGAAATGGATGTATGAACTGATATGGTTTGATCAGTCTTACTGACAGCAGAGGAATTGGAAGCTTGAGATGATGTTTTCTCTATCCAAAGGTCTAACAAGTCATCCTTGCGCTTTGGACCACGCCATGAGTCAATGAGAGTTCCAGTACTGTTCAAGCTACCTAGCGCGTCATTTTTCGATCTTCAAGCAGTTCGCACGGCTTTGCCAAGAAGCGCTCGGCAGGGGAAGGATGGCCACAGACTGAGAGATTGGCCTACAAAACATCTATTGTAGATTTGGGATGGTTTAAACCGTGATGCATGAACCTGAGATTCGCCAACCCTATTCATTAGCAGCACCGCAAGATGCTGGATCAACTATATATGTAGTTGATTGACTTTGCTGCTCCACATGTCCTTGTTGGCACCCCTTCAGTCAGTGGGTTGAGCAACCTGACATGCGATCGATTGAGGCTGCAGAAGGGAAAGCATTGAGAGGGCTCCTCTACAGGGTATTCCCTTCAGGCATACTACTGGTACTGTTGAAGCTGTTGAACAGGAGGAAATCGTACATCCCACAGAGATCATCATATCCCAGGGCGGAAATGGAACAGGCAATTGAATATCCTTAAATAAAGTGGTGTAGGCATCCAAGGTGTAGAACAGGAGGAAATTAAACAGGTGGATCATATCTCAGCCGTTACAGGGCCTTGTTTCATGAATTCAGGGCCCATCCCAAGGCGATCAAGCCACATTGCCCTATGCCCTAGCCCAAGCCGCGACCACTCGTGACGGTTCCGAACGCTCTCCTGGGACGGCCGCTCCGAGTGTAGGTCCAAGTGTTGCTGGATCAGTGCATGGGGTGGATATGGATGGATATGGTTTTTGTTTCTGCTGCTGCTGCTGGTGTTGTTGGTATGGATGCCATTGGGTGCTGCTGCGGCTGTAGCGGCTGTTGCTGTCCTGGAAACTCCACCAGCCTCATCCTTGTGAGTGTCATCTGGGCGCTGCAAGCCGCGGCTCGTACTGCTTGGGCTTCAGCAGGGATGATGTAGGTGACGGGAAGACTTCTTGGACCTACCGCCTCAGGACACGAGCGGACTGCATGCAAGCCAGAAGCGGCGTGGGCACGTGAAGACGCTCTTTCTTGCTCTAGCTCATCTTTTGGCAGAAAGGGGCTGACGAGGTCTCTCGCACCACTCAGGCAACCACCGTAATTTGAACGTATTTTCATGATTGGAAACAGATCATGTTCACGTCTGACGGTGCGACATGTCCATCAGCATTCATAGGCGGAGACGCCCTCTTCTCGCAGGATGCCTTCGACGCCGGGCGATTGGTGAGATGCTTCCTCCCGCAGTGAAGAGCTGAGAATGAAACATGTGGAGAGGTAGGTCAAATATGCTGCTGTCCTACCTTTTTGGCCCCTGATGGCCCCTGGGCAATCGCCATGCTGATTCGATGGCTATGTTGTAGCCCAAGTTGGAAGAAGCATCACGCTGGTCTGGCGATTCTCTTGAGCCAAACCCTCAACAGCAACCGTGCACGGAGATTCCGCAGAATTGCAGCATTGCCCTTAATTACCCTCTTGAACCAGCGTTTGCTGTTACTCAAAACCATAACATAATTCACCATGAAAAACATCTTCGAGGTATCTCCAGGTAGCCCAATCCTTGCGATCCTGGAGAACCCGAGAAACGGATCAACCCTGCTGAGGTGGGTCAATCGGTCTACGACCTCCGAGAGGTACGGAGCCCGGAAACGGCTACCCGCCGTGCTGTAAAGAGTCTGACCCCGGGCCAGACATCTTCCCCAAAAGTTTGCTTTTGGAGGCCTAGACTCTAGACCAAATGGGTGTTTATTGGTGTGTATAATTGAATAGGGAGACCCCTTGCCAATGGGTAAGGTCGAACTGGGAGGTCTTCCTATTTTGATACGCACCCAAATGACCTTTCAGTGGTCCTTTGTCACAAATACGGTTCAGCTGTTTCTTGTGGGCAAAAAAGTGTTACTCGTTGAGCGGAGTAGACAATACACATAGCCACATAGCTGTTGTTTCAAAGCATATATTATAGGTTTGATTGGTAGTCGATTTTAACCATAATAGGTTTGATGTCGACAGTTTTTTCACTAATTTATAACTATATATATAGAGAGAGATAATACATACCCAAAGTCTGCTTGTCATCCATGACCATGACGTTGTCAGGATGAGCAGCTGGCTTTGGCCATGCAGACGGGAACCCAGCTGGGTATGCGCGAGGGTGGATGTCACTTATTCTTGAACATCATTCAACCAAGCGAGCATGATAAACCAGTGAACTGCGAAGAGGTTCATCCAGTGGAGCGGTTCCTGCCATCCTAACTCAGGTGGCTTGGTGAAGAGTGAGAACTTCTTCCCGGCATCGGTTGATGCACCACCAGCCGGGGTTGGAAATTGGTCCTAAGAGAGCCATGGAGCAAAAAGGATTGACAAGAACCAAGATGTTTCGATTGGTCACCAGGACTCTACCACTTGGTTGGTTTCTACCAGGCGGCGTAATGCACATCTTTGCACGAGCCTTTGCACTGTTTCACTGTTGTGTTCTTTTATGTTCTTTTCCAGATCGACGACCGACGGCGGATCGGAACTGGGACGTTCTGAGGCAGTCGCTGGCGGATGCTGAGCCGGAACTGGCAGGTTTCGTCCGGGTGCTGAGCTGAATTGGTCGGCTGGCCTGGGCAGTGGTTGCAGGATGTTGCAGGCAGTGCGGGGATAATCACCAATTAATTGGATCTTTGGAGATTTGGGGAAGTCAAAGTCGGGATGAAAAGGGTCTTGCTCTTTGTTCGCCTCGGTTTACCAGTGAGCAACTGAAGGGTGGCTCAAGGACAGGGCGGTGGCTTCCAGGTGGCGTATCATTCGCCTTTCTCTTTATTTTCCTTAAGGAACAAAGACTTCTCGACACCTTCAGGTCTACAATCAACCCTTTTGTGAACATTGCTTCTGAACAAATTTTTGAGGCAGTGGACCAAGAAGACTTCTGATCTTAATTATACCGGCATAGACCCCAGATAGCATTTCAAGAAGAGTTAGACACCATGGCAAAAGCGCTTTTCAGCAAATCTTTTCCAGCCCTACGCATTTCGCAATTGGAAAGTACGGATCGCTTGTGCAAAGCAGAAGGCTCCCAGCCAAAAGCGAAATCATGAAGGGAGACAAGCTTGGGAGACAAGGCGGCAGCGGCAGCCACAAGCGAAATCATGAAGGGAGACAAGCTTGGGAGACAAGGCGGCAGCGGCAGCCAAGAGCGAAATCATAAAGGGAAACAAGCTTGGAAGACACGGCGGCAGCGGCAGCCAAGAGCGAAGTCATGAAGGGAGACAAGCTTGGAAGATAAGCCGGCAAAGGCAGCCAAGAGCGAAATCATGAAGGGCGACAAGCTTGGGAGACAAGGCGGCAGCGGCAGCGGCAGCCAATTTCCGCAATCAGGAACCCACCCATCCATTGAGAAGTAAGAACCCCTATAGCTTCGCTATCTGGGGAAAAAATGCACTTGAGTTGTCCTGACTGCAGACTCACACAGTGAGCACTCTTTTTTCCAGCGGGGCACAGCGTCGAGATCCACGCATCGTGAGGCCCGAGGCCCTGAACTCGCGACGAGGCGGCCAGTGCGTGCGTGCGTGCGTTCGACGTGTCACATTCGAGCGAAGACGGAGAATCGACGCCTGGCGAGACATGGCCAGAGGCCAATGGAAGACACATCCAGTCACATCCAGACACCCCAGTTCAAG